TTTTCCGAGGACACATCTGTCCGGTTCCAGACACGTCTAGAAATCTCAGAAACATGTGGATCATAGGTAATCGACCGTGCTGATCATCGTGGCGATGTTTGTTTCACTCCCCACTCAACCGCAATCTCAGCAAAGCCATATTCGTGAAAATCCGGTTCGCCTGTTGCCGTCAAAGATCAGAAACCAATATATTTTGCTCATTTCTCGTTCAAATAGACTCAAATTTTCGGGAAATGATTAGCGGAGATCAAAGAATGTGGAACGGGTCAAAAAAGTTAAATAAGGTTTTCAGTTCATGTATACGGTTTTTTAGCGGATCTCTAGAAAATCTCCCACAAAATCAAAGCTCAGGTCCGATTTTTTCGACTAATTCCACATTCTTTAATCTCTGCTAATCATTTTCCGAAAATTTGAGTCTATTTTCCAGACGTGTCTAGAACCGGACAGATGTGTCCTCGGAAAACGTCTGTATCTCCGGAACCGAAGGAGACGAAGGTCTGGACCTTGCATGCGTTTGAGAAGTGATGTTCTGGTTATCGACTGGTGTTATTTGAGATTGGATTTCATAGTGTGATTTGGGAACGGTAAGCTTTCGGATTTTGCCTCGAATGGTACACCATGGTAAACCTTATCGGAAGCCCTGACTTTTTCATCGATCGACGTGCTCCAGTGTCTAGTTTCTACAACTGAAAATCGCAGGTCGCTATCACCTTTCGTTCTCGAGTTATTCGGCTCGCAATCGCTCGCCTTCTGTTTTGAAATGAATAGTAGAGAACTAAGACAAGAGAATTGTTGAATGGTGGTGAAATATGCAAATAGTTAGACAATAGAGTGAGAATTATTTACATGTTGTGGTTACGTAATACTTGGAAGAAGAGAATAAGAATCAAGAAGCACCAACTTATTTATTATACCGAAGAGTGAAGACAGAAAATTCTATCATATAGATTTTTAGTTTCTATATTTTAGTTCTTAGTTTAGTAGTCCAGATCAGAGATTCGTACGAACTGGGTTAGAAAATGTTCAAGAGCGGCCGAGCTAGAGCTGAAAGGTATTCTTGTCAAGTCGGATTAAAATTTTTCTTGGGTAACATAATAGAAGAAGTAGTGTAATCTAGTTTGTAGCACTTTATACAACACCTTGCGTCTAGCAAGCGGTCAAGTTTTCTAAGAAATATACATACGAAGATTCGAAACTATGTTTTTCTTATTCAGCGTTGAAAACTGCATCTTGAAAGCTATATTTCAAGGTTCTTCACTAAAAAATATTTTCTCGGCGCGAAACGGGACCTATATATCTTCGGCTTCGAGACCCTCATCTTGCAAATCTATCGCAGCCCATTGGTTAACACATAAAGCTACGTTTTATACCCATTCGATTCGCCTTGAAGCGTAAAACAAAAGTATGAATCGCTTTTTTCGAAATTCCTTTCCGTTGCTGAAAAAATTCATTTTTTCTCAATCAGAGGAAAAAGTCCGATTTCTACTCATAATTTTTAATTTTCTCCATCAGAAATCAACTTTAATGCAATAGAAATATCATATTCAGAATCAGTATCAAAAAACGAATCGAATGATGCATATCTCTATCATATCTGGCTGCCTTAATTTTTGTCGAATATTCACGTTTCAGAATTATCCTGATTTTCACCAAAAAATGAAAATCAACTAAAAATTTCGAAATGCACATTAGTCAACTCAATTTTTTCCTTATATTTCTGAGAGTGATCGAGTCAGACTAGAAAAGTTGTAGCAGTGATCTAGCTCGGACCGAAAGCTTTCCTCAGCGGCCCGTGCGGATCTCTTGCTTCCAGATGTAGAAGCAATCTCATTACTGTCATCTATAAAGTAGAAGTCGCTTGAAACAATTCTAGCAGATTTCAATCTGTATGAGATAAGAAAACAGAATCAAAAACAAAACATGCATAATCGATTAAAATATAGTATTATGTATAAACAATCGAATTACAGAAGGAGCAGTAAAAAACAGTATTATTTTAACTAAGGAGCATTCGTCCATCAAAAAGAGCGATTTTACTCATATGAGTTAACCAGTTTAAACCAGAAGACAAACCTAAATCTAACAACTTAGAACTATTATCAGCGAAGAGAACCGTTCTGTTGTGAAACTGAAAATTAATTTGATGTGCACTGACTGTAGAAAACACGAAATATGTTTATGAATATTTATCGACCGTTAGAGTTATCTCGTTTTTTGTACATCATAAGAATTTCAACAATGCATTTTTTTTGAGTGTTTGTACTATTTTCTCATTAGAAGTCGACATTTTTTTCGCAGAGCTAGGCAAGTCAAATAAAAAATACCTCAAGTTATTCGGCTCGCAATCACTCGCCTTCTGTTTTGAAATGGATAGTAGTTAATTTATTTATTTTGGCTTTTTTTAATCCAAAACAGGTTAACTTAAGTTAATTTTTTTTTCTGACTAGCTACAACTATTGCTACTGTTCTCTCCAATGATAAATAAAGTAAATCAGAATCTTTTGCAGTCAGTCGCTTCATCTCATAAGCTTGTGATTTTACTGCTTGTTTCTTTTTTATTAATGAAAACAACGTGTATTATTTACCGTATCAGTAATTCAAATACATCTCCGAGTGACAGTGGTTGCTTTGTTAGTTCATTAGAATCGAGCATATGAGATAGATATGAACAAGCTTCTAATAAACGATTGAATTCACGCTCAACAACTTCATCTTTTGCTTTTGGTACCTTAAACGAAAACAGGAGGCGAATAAAATGAGACATACAGTAAGTAAAATGTTGATGAACCGGTTTTGTCCAGCGGTAAAGTAAAGAACAAAAGTTTAAACTTTTTTTGTCATGATTTGCTCTTTAATCGTAAACGTTTGACGAGGTTCAAAATGTGATATAGATAGCCCATATCTCTGACTACACGATTCATATAATACAAAATTTTCTGCCCAATAATTTTAGCATATAACTCATTTAGACCTAAATTTTTCTTTTAAGGTCATCTTCTTGATATGTTTAGTATAAGATAATTGTAGTATGTTATGGGTTGTATTGTACGTGTGCTAGTGTATGGGTTTCACAGATTATTATGAAGCATCTGGAAGTTATGGAACAAAACATACTACCACCCACTTTAAAATATAGTGCAGAGTACTTACTCTCTTTTTGAAAAGAAGAGAAAACAAGATAATTGAGCGTGGTATGCGTTTAGAAGAAAGAAGGAGAGTACTTCGCTTTACGGTTATTGATTTAATGCTGACAGGACGCTGAAAGATTTCTCGGTTTTGTACATTGGTCTCCTGCAGTTTATAATCATCGAGCGTCGTTATCAAATCACAGCTCTAGACAGAATTGATACAAACAATAGAACAGTACATAAAATATGAAATGAGACACGCTTGTAGACTAGTCTATAAAAATATGTATTCCTTAGTCTTAAAACTGTTTTTGTTTACAAAACACTTTTTAATTCAGTAAACAGCTACATATTGGTTCATAACAACTCTCTCTTTATTAAAATAAAACTATATTCATGACTTCTACGCACATAATTGGACATATTGATTTTACAAAGCATGTGTTCTAAATATATGCCCTCCGGTCTCAATGGGTTAAAACGCTTCTCTTTAATTTGATTGTTGCAAAGCTCTAAAGGTTTAAGTAGAATACTACACATAAAAGAAAGGCTGTAAACAGCGATACCTTATGGAAATAGTTTTAAAACAATGAAATTGAACGCTCAACTGGTCAAACACGTTATCGAACGAAGTTAATAGATCTTATTTTATAAAGAAAAGTCTATTCTAAAAAAACAGTTACACTAGAATTATTAATTTTCGATTTTACTGTCGATATTTATGGAATTCAAATCTCAATACCTTTTTGAAACTTGACTAAAAATTATATTAATTGTTAATTCTTGTTATCATAAAGTAAGTATAGTTTGTTCAACTTTTCACTCTTTCGAATGGTGCATACGAACAATTTTTCATTAACATTTGACAAAAATTTCAATTTTTTGCACTCTCTACAAATAAATCTCGATTTAATACATGGAAATGAAAACTTTTTTTCCCAAAATCAGTCCGTAAAATTCTCAATCGATTTCTATTATTTTTATTTCTACCAACTATAGTTTGAATCGAAAAGACATGAAATTAAAGAAAAATATTTTAAAAATATTGAAATTTTAGTTCGTATGCAGCAGCACAGTTCATGTTATATGAATATTATATTCTAAGATATGGACTATAGTACACTGTAAACTTTTACAAATGCTTCCGATTAAAGAGAACATCATGAAAAGCAAAAAAAAGTTTAAATTTTACATACCACGACTGAAGAACATTCATACATCGGACATTTGTGCTTGACCGGAACAAGATCAAGATTTGTTTGTGTTTGAAGTACGGATACCGGATTGCCACCTAAATAATGATAACTAAATAAGATATATTCTGTCTTTCTTTATCAACAGAATACCTAAACCAGTAACAACCATTGCGCCGAGATCTGCAACGTAGCCATTCTTTCGAAATGTAGCTATTCGGCCACCGACTCTCGCCTAGAAACGAGATAATATCTATTAAATGTACAAAGTAGAATAAAAATTAAGACACTCACTCGAGATTCTAATATGATTGTATCAAAACCGAAATACTGTAATTGTCTGGCAGCAATAATCCCCGCTATACCTGCACCGATAATAATAACTCGTCCTTTTTTCTGCTCTAAAAAATAAATAATAGAACTACCTGTTATAACTAGTTTCTCCTTTTTTTCGATTTCATGAACTTGAACTCATCTTACTTACCTGGTGAAGCTGTTTGTCGTCGAAATACCCCAAAGTTTATATAGCCATATCGTTCCAAATAAAAAAAAACTTTTCCAACCAATACGCGTTCTTCTGTAAAGAAAGAGAAAATTAAGTTTTTGATTTTAAAAATAAATTTGCTAACATTTCTTACCGGACAAAAGTGTTATATCGATTTTATCCAATGTTTCAACTACTTTATCAAATGTTAACTGATATCGTGGTTCATCAAACCACAATCTTAACTAAAATAAACGAGACAACAAAATGAAAACACATTTATTAAATGTGATATTTGATTTACAATATTGTTTCTTATTGCCAAATATGCTTTATGTCTCTTAATATCGCCTTTTGATATTTCTGCAAATAATCTCGCTTCTTCGGCTGACATACGATCATGCGATAGACGACTTTGATTTGCAGCATCTTCTAAACCGTTGATGATGCCATCCACTCTTCGAGCACGAAACTCATGAGGAATGCTTTTACCGTCGTCAGCCATTCTGAAACAAAACGAGAAAATATTACTTACTTTTTTAAATTAATCTCTAAGTCGAACAGATAGAGTGCTGTTCACGGCATGACAATATAACTCAGAATGATACGAAGAATTCCAGTTCAAGAATATTGTTCACAAGCTTATTATGCGTCAAAAGAGCTCAGACAATCTGCGACGAAAAAGGCGAATCATTAAAGTAATCCTTTGTTGTGAGTGGAGTGAACATGATCTAGCTTAAGAACATCCGACATCTCATCTATACCTTGTACTCTAACGAGAAAATCCTCCAGAAGAGTATTAATTCAAAAAGTTAAATGAGTGAGTTCAATTCTCACTTTCCTGTCTGACAAAATCAAACTAATTCAGCGATAGATCTATCAATATTTGATACAATATCTAGGAGCGTCCTTACATCCTGTCGACTGATGAGATAAAAATCTCTTATGCGCGTCTGTTGCGTTAGAAAACCGCACTTGATTTGATGAAAGTTTCAGAGAAACTTAAAGACTCCAAATGAAGATTTCGGAATCTCTTTTCTTCTTTTGGATTTTTGATACTGTTACTGAACTATCTGCAAAAACAGCGGCCCCTTTAGTATAGAATAACATATATTCATTAACAGTGGCAAGAATTCAAGAAACATAACGTTTTTCTCTTTTAGCTGTATCTAGCAGTCGTAAAAAATAAACAGGCTAAAAGAAGAATTATTTTAAAATTTGCCTTAAATAAAAAAACAATGTAGAGGATCAATCGTACATGGACTGAGATAAAAAATTGCTTATGTTAGTCCACATTGTCAGCAAAAGGGCAGCTGAGAAAAAAGATGCCACTATTCTAAACAACTTCATGAATTTCAAACATTTAAAGCGATTTTTTATGAATTTCGTTGTTTTAAATGTTAATTTGCCTCGAACGGATACGTATCTTCGTTTAATTTCTGAGTTTTGCTTAAAAAAAACAGCGGAGCTATTGTGGTACATGAACTGATATAAGATGAAAAACCTGCGCTTATTTTGCGCACTCTATCATTTCGAGCAACTCAAATTCATTCGATGAAAATTTTAAGTTTNAAGTTTGACCCAAAAGAAAATGAGATTTCATTTCCTGTTTTCAGTTTTTTCGGCCAAGCTACGATTATTGAGAGATTCACAAGAACAGCGCCATCTATAGAACAGGATAGTGAGTTCCTCATTATTCGTAGCTTGTTCGAAAAAACTGAAAACAGGAAATGAAATTTCATTTTCTTTTGGTTCAAACTTAAAATTTTCATCGAATGAATTTGAGTTTCTTAAAACGATAAAGTACGCAAAATATGCGCAGGTTTTTCATCTCATAGTTCCGCTGTTTTTTATATTAAGCAAAACTCAGAAATTAAACGAAGATACGTATCCGTTCGAGGCAAATTAACATTTAAAACAACGAAACGCATAGAAAATCGTTTTAAATACTTGAAATTCATGAAGTTGTTTAGCATAGTGGCATCTTTTTTCTCAGCTGCCCTTTTGCTAACAATATGGACTAAAATGAACTTTATGATTCAACAAACCATTTAGCATTTTCAATCCATCTTTTAACTTTACGGGTTCTTATTTACGGCAAATTATTCATGGCTAGCATAATACTAGGGAAACGAAAAGGGATTTGGAGAATTCAATTTACGCCTAAATTTCGTGAAACTTTCATCCAATCAATGTTGTTTTCCAACGCGTTAGAATGATAAGCTCATCAGCCTACAGACTATAAAATGAGCCAATAGCAAGATAGAAAGAAGTACAAAATATCCACCATTCTGTGTCTATCAGTGGTATAACCGTTCGTGCAAATGTAAAATCTGTCTGTAAAAACCGTCTAAAATTCTCCCTTTTTCACAGTAAATAAAAAGCAAAATGTTATACATTCTCAGAATAATGAGTCTAAGCTGAGTGGACTAATGGAATACGTGAATGGTGCCAACTGCCAACCACGCATATTTACACATTTTTCTAACTCAAACGATTCACATACAGCGAATCATAAAATCAGGATTTCTCTTTAAAAAGTATTAATATATGATGACAGCATTAAATTAAATTATCGTACTAAAACTCATTCTACTTTTCTAAAAGTGACTTTTGTGTGTAACTATCTTTTGACTTTACATTGAGTGAATTTAATTTCTCGTATTATCTCTATATTTTCTTTTCCCAGAGTTCAGTAAGTTTTACAATTGTGCTCAGACTTATTCAAGTGGTTCACTTCCAAAAAAATATGCGCTCATTATGTATGTTTGTTTTTTAGTGATGAATATGGTCACGCCAAAACGACGACAAGAACTTTTTAGTAGAGCGGAAGATTATGTTGACACAGTAAGCACTTATTTTGGATACGTTAGTTGCGGCTATAAATAAATGACTGTAATCTTCATCTTTTTTAGTTCTTACAGCACACAAAATACATTTTACCACATGTAGCACGTTTTTGTCTTGTTAGTACATTTATCGAAGATGGAATTCGTATGTATATGCAATGGAACGAACAACGTCAATATATTATGTCTAGTTGGGGTGTCGGCTGGTTTATCGGCACTTTATTTGTTATCATTAATTTATTTGGACAATTAATACCTTGTGTGATGATTTTATTGCGTAAAAAAACTGAATATGCCTGTGGTGTCCTCTTTTTCATCATTGCATTTCAAGTAGGTCAAACAGTTTGGTCGACAAACTCTATTCTTTAATGCTTTTTTAATAGTTTTCTAAGAAGCGGCATTCAACTTGATCCATTTTGTGATAGGAGAGACAAATGAGAAAAAAATATTTTGGCTCAACAGAAAAAAAACGGCGCTCGATGCGTTTTGTTTTGCAAGTCAGCGCTGTACCCGTTTTTTTTGGCGATTGAATATCGCCTCACAAAAAACTCCTACATTTCGAGCTTCTATGATATTTTGCCAATTGCGTATAATGAAATATAGCTGAATCGATTCATGACAACTGAATGTTAGAAGAAGCTATACAAATCAATCAAATTTGAGCACATTTTCATGGATGAACTTTGTTAAGTTCTGATTAAGCTAAGAGTTTTAGTTGTTTTTATTTATCTGTCATTTTTTTGTAGTCTATCGCATACAGAATCATATGGGAACCTCGATTTTTACTTAGGTAATAATTCATGTTTTGTTCTTTTATTTGTTATTTCTGTTTATAGGTAATCGGTTATAAAACTCTATGGAGTTTTCGTTATTTGTTGAAGTGAGTCTCTTTGCATGATGTAATGCTATGTGAATGGGCGTGAGAGAACGAGAGATGTGTAGTAATGCTACTTAGCAATAAAGTAAGAAAATGGTTAATTAGACTCTGCTGCTATCTATAACTCGATGGTGTATAATACCGTAAGAGAAAATCGTAATTGAAGGACTTTATTAATCACTTAATTGGCTATAGCTATTTTAAGTCTATGGGTTTGCACTCAGTTAATAATCCGATTTTCTTTCTTTTTTACTAACTGTGATTTAATGCTTTACTCCAAATACAATTTTGTTTTTTTTGAACTAAGAGCAAGGTTTTCTTTTTCTGTCTTTTTAGGTCATGTGCGTTAGTTGGCGGATTAATATTGTTATTGGTTGAAAATCGTAAAGAAGGTCGAAGTTTATTTGCTGGTGTGCCTACAATGCATAATAATGCGCCAAAAAATTACATGCAATTAACAGGTAAATAAATATTTTTTATCTCATTTTAATTGTTTTCTTAAATATTCATTCTCTCATTCTAGGTCGTATACTCCTTGTTATCATGTTTTTGACAATTGTTCGTTATGAAATATCAATATCATCCATAATTCAAAATTTAATAGGTGGAATATGTATATGTTTTGTAGCAGTTGGTTTTAAAACAAAATTATCAGCCATGTTTTTAGTATTTTATTTAACATGTATTAATATTTATGCTAATAGTTTTTGGCTAGTGCCAAATCATCGTGCATTACATGATTTTTTGAAATATGATTTTTTTCAAACAATGTCTGTCATCGGTGGTCTGTTGTATGTTGTGGCATTAGGTCCCGGTGGTGTATCGCTTGATGCAAGAAAAAAAGAATGGTAAACAATCGATTACTGACGAAGAAATGAAAAACAAAACGTGATTATATTGCTGTTGTTATGGTTTTTTGTTGTTTGTTATGTACCAAAAAAAGAAGAAGTTGTATCTAAATGTTTAATAGGACAGAAGAGCGGAAAAAGTTATTTATTTTTAGCCTAGTTTTATGCATCAATATTTTTATTTGTTTTTTTACAATCGCGGGTTTTTATATTACAGCTCGTTTTATTGAAGACACTAATTTTGCATAAAGCTCTTCTAAATGAGTTTATTATTTTAAGCTTTGACTTTGGATTGACTTTATTGTTTTTAGCCCGTTTTCCGACTCTGTTTTAGTAAAATTCAATTCTGTTTCATTCTATGTGCAATAAATTGTAGTTCATCCATGTTTAGAAAATTGACAAAATAGGATGTATTGTCGATTTAGTGCCATAGTAATTTACTAGCTATTTCCCAGAGCAGGTCCGAGTACTTGGTGTTGTGAAGGCAACCGTGTTCTAAAGGTATTTGTACTTGGCAAGTAGAAGTACTTTTCAAGACATTTTTTTAAGAATTGCATTAGAACTCCTTCTGCTTCACTCTATAGAGCATTAAAACCTGCGTCGAATGAGACCTATGAATGTATATTTGCTCAACAAATTAGAACACTGTTGCTTTCACAACAGCAGTTACTTATGAGTACAAGATACCTGCTCTGCTATTTGCTCAACCTGCCTTTCTCTGATGATAGACCTTCTTCTAATATATTATTGTGTTTTTGTTTCTCTATATTATGTCGAATAGTTTTACTCATATGTTTGAAGTGCCAAATGTTGTGCATAATCGTACATTCGATAGAAAAGAACCTGCTTTTTTCTGTTTTGTTGCTCTTCACCATCTATTTATTTTAATGTGTTGTTTCCTTGTTGTCTTTTCAATCATCTATTACCACTATTGTTATTATTTTCTATAAACATGAATTTCGTTTGTTCAAAATATTTATAAACTTGATCTTTTATGACGCATTGAACTACACACAAACAATCGTATAGATGATAAAAGTGAGAAATTGTAGAGAACAGAAAGATTCACAGATTTAGAAAAGTATCTCGGAATATTTAAGGATAGTCCCCTTCCTCTTTTTTTTACCTTGTTGTTAAATACGGAGCACACGTCCGATCGAGCTCAAATTTATATCCGAGATAGAAGAACGAAAAAAGAAATCGATGTATTTTTGCTTAGAATTTCGTGACATGATCTTCTATGAGTTTTCGAGGTAAAAATTTTGGCTCAATTGGGCCATTTTTTCGAGAGATCATATTGTGACTGGGTGAAAACTGGAGTTTGGGGGCTACCATTAAGATATAAGTTAACTAGTAGAAACGGGATCTGATATTCGTAAAGAATTTGAATAAAAGATGAAATATTTACAATCAGATACTGTATATCAGGTATCCTGAGAATATTATCTAGATGTTTTTCTTGAATACTTTGAGGTTGTATGTGAACGATGATGTTAAATTCGACATTTTCGTGCTTAACGCACAGTCTAAATTGTAAATTTTTCGAGATTCGTATTTATGTAAAGTGGAAAGAGATATTCTTTTGTTTTATAAAATTGAATGAAATGTATTTTTTTATTACTCATTTCAGAAACTAAAATTAAAACAATGGATTCAAATTCATCCGATTTAGAAAACTTGGTATGAATCAATTTATCGGGTAAAATTGAGTTGTATAAACATATAGTACATTTTTTTAGTTATTTAGGATACAGCTGGAATGGAGGCAGCAGCTCAGGCGCTTTCTCTTTCTGCTGAAAATTATGTAAATGATGTAAGAATCTTTATAGACTCTCATTTCCATTCTTGTCATCTTTTATGACATTTTTAGCCGGTAATTGAACAGCAATGGGCTATTAAAGCTTTTCAACATTCCGAGATTTATTTCAATGTAAGCTTACAATCATTTAACTCTTCTCTTCTGTTTGTTAGTCTACCATCTTTCATAATACTTTTTCTTTATCTTTTGTAGTTATTATGTGCTATAGCCGATCCGAAAAGTCTTCGTTTAACACCTAATGATGATAAGATTTATGGACGTTTTCGAGAAATGTTTCCTGATTTCAATGTTGATGTTTTAGACGAAAATACTTTGAAAACCGAACAAGCTAAACAGGTAATAAAGTTTATGAAAACTCTTTAAATCTCAAAACACAAATGATCTTTTATTGTTAAAGAAATGGAGAGAATTTTGTGAACAATTTCGTGATTTTGTCGAAGACTATAATTTTGGTACTTTAGTTCGAACTCGAGCAGATGGAGAATATAGTGAAGAAAATACAATTTTACGTAAGCTGTGTAGCATAGTTACGAGATATTTTTGGATAATAATATGTTTTATTTGTTTAGTTGTGCGTATTCAGTTTTACGCTATTGAAATTGCTCGTAATCGTGAAGGATATAATTCTCGTGTACGTCATCTATATGGAACAAAGAAAGAATCTGTATCTTAACATTAAAAGAAACATGTAATAATTCTGTGATAACATGTGTTTGTTTTTTTCACGTTAATAAATATATGAAGAATATTCTTGTTTTAATCTTTTTTATCGCATGGTTTGTTTGCTTTGTTCATGAATAATTATCTTTGCAGTACTTATCTAATATTCTTAGGAACCAGAAGAAGAATATTTTATAATAGAAAGATTTTAGGAAACCTCATTTTTCTATAGAAAACATAATAAAGTATCTTAGATTTTAATGGTGAAAAGTCTGATTATTACTTGAAATAGACGACCAAGAATACTAACAAAAGAATAATAACAAAAATGATGTAATAGATTTTTCTGTTTCTTTTTTGTTCTAATTACTTTATCCAACTAGTTGCTTCTTTTCTTCTCTTTGTAAAGCTTGGTAACAACGGTTGTAGTGAGTTGGGCTAAAGTTAGCTCTGAAGAGTTCAACATTATTAAGTTTCAATTAGGACACAATTTCTATTTTAGATTAGTTTCTTGTCTTTCCATCATGACAAGATGTGATCTAATGTTAGAAAAGTATTTCAATGCTCTGTCAATTTTAAGTTTTGACAAGGCTAAAGAAATATTGGTATGTAGTTAAAGTTCACTTCTTTTATCTTATAGTTAATTGTTGACTCTTTCAGGATAAAGAAAAAGATATACGTTCAGGTTATCTAGTATGGACTAAGTTAATTGAATATTTATATCAAATAATTCAATTGGAAAAAGGTTATCATAATCTTGGTTTTTCAGTAACAAAATGGGGCACAAAGAAAGATGTAAGTTCAGTCCCTTATTAGAGAATAATTAGAAATCATTGTTATTCTATATCTAGAAAACACTGATTGCGGCCTACTCTGAACTTCAAACAGATATTCATGTTCAAATTGAAGTCGAGCATAATCATAGTCAAGGATCATCCAGTTCAAACGAAATAACACAATTTAAACTGTTGAAGGATGGATTACATCAATTTTTAAATATTCGTGTTAAATTATTGAGATTGTATCCTTTTTTAATCTGAAGTCAATTTTTCTTTTTATCCAAACGTAAGTGTTTGTTTCTTGACGTATATTTTTCATGTATGAACAAATTATTGAGGCTGTGCGACGTAATGAGCAACAGCTTCGACCAGAATTATACAAGACTGAAATGAAGAGAATACAAGAATTAGACTCAGCATCGTTGATTAATATTTTATCTCCGTTAAAACGGCTTTTAGGGTAAAGAAATAAGCATTTTTATAGAATAAACGCTAATCTTATCTATGTGTTATCCTCTTATAGACATGAGATTGAAACATTGTCACTATTGTTAAATGTACATTATTTTATTTGCGAATATCAGTATTTAAATGCGCTATCAAATTTGCATCAAATGCAAGCAACATTAAAAGAATGGAATGATAAAGTGGAAAATGAAGTAAGAAGATACGTGATATCTACATATTGCTTACTAACAACTGATTTATTTTTAGGCAAAACTTTTTGTACCAGCCCGTAAGCCAGCATTGATTACATGGTTTTCAAAAACACATGAATTTCTCGTAGCCAAGGTAAGATATTGTTTAATTTTCATTTGTTTTCCTGCTTTTAGTGCTGGTACTTTTAGTTTTCAATTTATTTTTTCGATTATTTACAACTTTATGGTGGTTGCATTCTAAGTGATATGAAAATTTTTTTATCGAAAACAAATCCAGATTTTTATTCAAAAATATCACAATTTCAGCGAAAAACAAATTGTGAGTGGATTACAATTGCTTTACAAACGGATCAACAACTTCAAACATATCACAGTGAGTTCAGCATACTCTTATATGAATGAGGAATATAATGACTGAAAGGCGACTATGATGTTTTGACCACAAAACGGGATATATGTAGGTTTGTAGAGGAAGATTTCCGCTATCTAGTGGTGTATATATTATCAAATTCTGTTGCGTACCGTGAGAGAAAATTAAAAGTAACCCCTCTTTTTTTTAGACTCTTTTAGAAATTTTTTTAATTTTTGAGTTAAATGTTCTGCATTATAGAGTAAAGTGTCCTCTACAAAGTAAGACCACTTCCAGCTTTCCAAGACCTTCCGTTGAGGAGATACAAATTCTTTAAAGTTTGTTACTTTACGCTGAAAAAAACCTACTTTTTTACTTGCGAAACGTTTTTC